GTACAAACACACGTCTGAATACGTTCATAATATATTCATATATTATATATAATATTATATATATTCATCCTCCGGCGGAACAGATGTTTGTAAAGCCCCGAACCTCGTCTGAGTCGGTAATGTTTAAAAAAATAAGCATTTTTCTGCTTTTCCAGACGGACATAGAATCCGTTTCGACTCCTCTGAGACTCCTTTGCTTAGATATAATTAATTAATGCTATATTTACCGTTTATCTGAACTCCTGACAGGTCATGTGATGCAGAATTTATGAGAAAAGATCCTTTTTATTAATTTTTTTAACCAATTTAGGCCGAAAAATGACCCCAAAATTGCTTAAATATATGAATTAACTTAAAAAATTTGCAAAAAATTCATGAAAATGATCAAATATCACATATTTTTGTTTGTACTTTACGTACGTTAGTTATAAAGCTGTCTAATTTAATTATTTTACAAGCTCTATTTTCTATCTTTATTCTAAGCCAACATTTACAATACTATTATTTTCCCTTCTCATATCCTTTTCTTAATGATAACTCATTAAATATTTATTTTAGATTTAAAATTCCTCTGTTTGCTTTTATTCATAGATGCATTCGTCTTTGTTTTTCCTCCCAAAATGCATTTTTTCTATATGTTTAAGTATTAATCTCCATTCCATTTCTTATTTATTGTAATTTCTTTGTACATTTTGTATAATTCAGCCTCATTGAGCAGTTTTTTAAGCTAAATCTGAATAATATCTAAAAATTGACGTAAAATAACAAAAGTAAGTCACGTTTTTTAATGTGATTTTTGACCAGATTTTGTTTTTGTTTTTGTCTTTGTTATTCCTGCCAAAATGCATTTTTTCCATATGTTTAACTATTAATCTCCATTCCATTTCTTATTTATTGTAATTTCTTTGTACATTTTGTATAATTCAGCCTCATTGACCCGTTTATTAAACTAAATCTGAATAATATCTAAAAGTTGACGTAAAATAACAGAAATAAGTCATATTTTTTAATGTGATTTTTGACCAGATTTGTTGCTTTTAACATTTTTGGTGTATTTTTTAGCGCATTTATTGCCTTTAAAGCCACTATTTATTCGTCTGGTTGATGCCTGGATGCTCAAACATTAAAGGACCAAAAATTACCCCAAAAATGCTTAAATATATGAATGAACTTAGAAAAATTTGCAAAAAATTCATGAAAATGATCAGATATCACATATTTTTGTTTGTACTTTAGTGATAAAGCTGTCTAATTTCATTATTTTACAAGCTCTATTTTCTATCTTTATTCTAAGCAAACATTTACAATACTATTATTTTCCCTTCTCATCTCCTTTCTTTAATGATAACTCATTAAATATTTATTTTAGATTTAAAATTCCTCTGTTTGCTTTTATTCATAGATGCATTCGTCTTTGTTTTTCCTCCCAAAATGTTTTTTTTTCTATATGT